CTGCCCAGGGAAGTGGTTGAGTCACCATCCCTGAAGGTATTTCAAAGACATGTAGACATGGCGCTTAGGGGACATGGTTTAGTGGTGGACTTGGCAGTGCTAGGTTTGTGGTTGGACTTGATGATCTTAAAGGTCTTTTCCATCCTAAATGATTCTATGATTCTATCTTCCTAGACCTTTGTAACATATTTCCCAGAGGAGACTGGAATAAGCCAATGGCAGCCACTACAAATAAAAATGCTTTGTACACAGTTCTGCCATATCCCTGTGAATTTGCAGATCACCCCATGTTTCCAGGCAAGCTTTCAGAGACTGAGCTGTGCAACAAAGGATGTCCAAGGCCCTCTAGCCTTTTTGAAATTTCTTCTCCCACCTCCGAGGCCTGGTTTGGCTGCTCCTGCCTCTTTTAAGAGGATGCTGTTTCTGCATGAGCTGCAGGTTCCCAGCTCCAGGCTGTGGCTGTTGCCTCTTTCTCTGCCTGCAATTTCTGCGGTCTCTGGAGCCTTCTTTCCAAACCATGAGCTTCCTAGAACAGCAGTGCTACTTCTGCTGTAGGGAGTCTCACATGACTTAGTCTTCACAAGGACTTAATAGCATTATGACCAAAGGGGCCAGAGGCGGGGGTAGAGGGGAGGAAGGAACAGACAGCATAAATGCTGTCCATCCTGTAGTCCTATTCTAGCCTTGCATTCTTAACTAGACAAATGTACCACGTTCTTTCTTTGGTGTAAGTTGCTAGAACAAAACATGGTTTTTTTTATTTGCTTTTAAGTAATAGGTTTCTAGATGTTACATATCCTGAGTCACGTTTGGACAGACATTGGGGCTTCTCTTAATTTCATAATGATCTTGGGTTTTATTTATTTATTAAGTTTAAAGATACATGACCTGCAAATGAAGGAAAAGGTATTATGAGATTCCAGGAAGAAAGAAAGAAGACCTAAGGTAGTGCAAGGGAACAAAAATCTTCTGTGTGGAAAATGCAAAGCATATGCCTGCAGTACAGATGACATCAGAGTTATAAAGGTATGTCTCTGTATGGAAACCTACATCCATAAACACCAGGGAAGTCAGCAGTATTGAACTAACAGCATTGTTTATCAGTGTGGAAAGTAGGCTATTTTGTGCAAACTGGAGCAGAAAAAAATTCTGACTAAATCAGTAAACCACAGGACCAGTCAAAACTACTTCTGTAGCATGTTATGATGGTAGTTGATGATGTCCGAGGTGTACAAACATGTGCTATGACAGGCATCAGTTCCATTTTCCTGAACCTCTTCTGTTAGAAATAGATGAATTTTGTGGAAAACCATGTGATCTTCAGTGACATAACCTACTAGTGTAACTGCTGGATATTTACTTTCCCGATTAGCATAAGATTGGAACTCTTCCTGCAGTTGAGACACTTCTCCCACCATTTCTGTTGACTGAAAATTATCCATACAAAGTACCGAGATCAGCTCACTGTTTAGCTCTTCGGCTTACGGGCAAATTTTCTGTTTTGAAAGGCAAGGCAAACCATGGTTTTACAAAAGGAGCCCTTTAATTCTTCAATTCTTTAATTACTTTTTTTTTTAATTATTTAGGTAGTTCACATTGCTTCTGTGTATCTCATGGGGACATTTTTATTGTACTCTTTCTGAACTTGAAGAATTTCTCTGTAGGCCCAAGAAGCCAATACTCTACACATGGAAAGTGGTGATCATGAAAAAGAGCCTTTTCTGGGCAATTTGAGCCTTTCTAGTTCTGAAATTTGTTCTTTTGAAGCTCTTCTATTTGTGCTGCTCTGAAAAGCGCAGTTGTGATGTGGTAAGGGGCTTCAGGCCACAGCTGAACATTACAGAGTGCTTGCCTTCAGGCATTTCACTTTTTAATCAAGAAAGTTTTTTGTTTTTACCAGCTGTTTTTGGAACGTAGATGGAGTTTGCTACTCCTCTGCACAGGGAAGGTCCACAGGCGAGGAGTTGGGAATAGCTCAGCCTTGTGAAAACCTAGTTACGTTTCTTTGACAAATAACAAAGGATATCTAACATGCACCTCTTGACTGTTACTCCGTTTTGTGCTCCTGGCTTATCACCTATACCTATGCAAATAGATCTGAGAGTTCACAAAACTCTTCAAAAAGAGGCTTTGCTTAGTACCCCGCAAATAATCCCTCACAATATTTTAAATAATCCCTACAAACTGAGTTCTGTCATAGTTCAGCCTATATATTTAATGGAAGTTGCATTTCCAGGAGGAAATAGTGTTTTCAGACTCCAGCCCAAATTGTACAAATGCTTTCAAATAAAAGATTAAAAATTTTAACAACTTTATTATATATATTATAAACAACAACTGTAACTCCTTTACCTTGTAAGGGTTACTTTTTCTACCACTCCCAAGTAATTGCATCACCCCTTGTGGAAAGCTGGGATCATATAGTTAAAATGGGAGGCAGGAGTCTCTCAAGTTGTCTGTTGTCTGGATGACTCTGTTAGTTTTATGCACAAGGCTCAAATATTGCACGCACGGTTTTTAGAAAAGCTAAGTAAGTTCAAATATGTACGAGCTGGTGACTGTTGATATATAGTAATTTTGGTTCTGGTAAGCCCAGGCCTGGGCCTTTTCTAGTACCTGGTACTTAATGAATGGGGACAAAAGAGCGATGAGCGAGAGGGCTGGAAGGTGAGCCTCCCAAATGACAGGAAGCACCTTACCAGGGAAATGGTATTTGTGAGGGGAAGGGGCATGCCAGGAAAAAATGAGGAATGGTGTTTCTACGATTAAGCACTTCTGGCACGTGTTGTTTCAGGAACGTCATCACACTGCGCTAGGAGACATGTTCAAGGAGCGTTACATGACAAAGACTCACCAGAAACCAGTCCAGTCTGATTGTTTTGAGAAAAAAAGCAAGATGCATTGCCAAAATACTAATTGCCAGCATGACTGGGGAATCACAGTGGAGTACAAGACATTTGGTAATCTACCAGTGATCAAAATCAAAAGCTTTGTAGTAGAGAATGTTGAAACTGGGACACAAATGGATTTTCAGAAATGGAAAAATATTAATTTTTCTTTGAAGAATTTTGATGTTGAAGAAATGTCCAGCCGAACTCAGCATTTTAGTGCATGCATCACCCTACTGCACTAAGCTGAAATAGTGGATGACCTATTTCCATATATAAAAAAATTCTTGTTCTTTATGCTGTCTGATACGCTAGGCCCCTCATCAGCATCTGGTTAGATTAAAAAAGGCTAGTATGGCCACTAAAAAAAAATTCCTATCTAGTGAAATGTTTCACGAGAAGTTTTAATATAAGCATGGACAAACATGTGCCTAAGCATCTAGATCTTAATCCTTGCTGCTATGAAGTAGTTGGTCTGAAAAAAAACAAAATCAAGTTGAATGACTAACTAAATATCTAATTTTAGGTGACAGGCCACAACTTCAAGCATTCCTGTGTGAATCAGAATCTTCTTTGTTACCAGTAACTTCTGGTTGGATGGCACCTCCATGCAGACAACATGGCTTATGCATACTGTCACTTTAAGCACTACTTTAGCTACTTTTAAAGCTTTTTAAAAATTACTTTTAATGCTTTAGACATTTCGGTATATAGAAAATTAAGAGAAAATGTCCAGTACCTTTTCTGTAAGGAAGATATTGCATCTTTTAAACCCATCTTTAATAGAGAATGCTTCTTCAACAGTCTGAGAAAAGCAGTAGGGTTTCACAGAGCACTCTTGGAGGAGGCATCTTCTGGATTAAAATGGTAGCACTGTTTTCTTCTATCACTGCATGTTCGTCAAGTTGCTGTTGCTGAAGTTGCAGAATGGACACCTTTCTATGTGTTGCTTAACTGAACAAGCCCCAAGGGGGACAAGGTAGTGCCCTGTAAGATGGGTGAAGGCTTAACTTGGAGGGTTATTAGCATTTACCCTGATGTCCTGTCCCATCAATTGGCATCTGAAATCTCTCGAGACACTAATATTAATTCTGCAGATTTCCCATCAGAGCTGATCTAGAATTGGAACAAAGTCTAGGCACTAGTGTGTTTAAATCCCTCCTCCCCACCCAGATCCCAGACTTCTCTCAGAAAAACAGAAATTGCTACAGCCACAGTTATGAAACATTGTTAAACTTGTACACTTCAAAGCACTTGCTGATCCTACATATCTTCACCGACCTTAATCTTCAATATTTCTGGAACCAAGATCAAATATATTTTCAGTTCACTTTATGCATTTGATAGTGTAGTAAGGTATGTATGTGGAAGAATTATGTGTCTGAAACACTTGAACTCTGAAGAAAACAAACGACCTTGAACACGAACCTAACTCGGAGTCCAAAAATTATTTAAACTACCCTAGTCAGTGAGACTTGCAGTTTTCTTTTAAACAGTGTTATGTGGCATTAAAAGCAAAATGCTTTTTTAAGCACTGCTTCATGTTCCACCCCAGTCCATACCTTTTACTGTGAAAGCTGTATGCACTGTACAGGAAGCCCAAATCTCAGTCCTATAGTAACTTACTCTGTGCTTAGTTTTTACCTAGTAGATTCGCTGTCCTCATAGCTGCTTCCAAAAAGGAAACACAGAACAATGGGTAAAGATGATTTATGGTCAGATAATGCCTCCCCTCCAAAAATACTAGGAACAAAGATTTTGAAAAAGTCTGGTTCAGCACTTTCAAATTAGAAGTACATGGAAAATCACAGTCCTTGAGTATCAGTTTGCCGCATGAAAGGACCACCTACTTCAGGACTCTTGGCATAAAAAAATAATCAATCTTAAGTTTCACAGCTTATAGTAATAATTACTGGGAAGTTAAGGGATCTGAGGAGTTCTAGTCTTTTCCTGTTGTTTGAACACGAGGATTGTAGACTAAAACAACTCCACAGTTCAGCCTAAATGAGTGTAATAAAGATTGATGAGATGACACATTAATAAGAATTCAACGATACAAACCTACCTTCAGTACACAGTGGAGATGGGAGGGTGGGAAGCACACCACCACTCTACCTGGCCTTTGAGAATATCTGAAATTTTTTTGCAATTGAACCCAAAGTTGCATATTTATTACCAAATAACGCTCAAGATTATGACCATATTAACAGCTCTCTGTTAAGATATTTCATAGAATCACAGAACAGCTGAGGTTGGGAGGGACCTCTAGAGGTCATCTTGTCACCTGCAACAGTTTGCCCAGGACCATGTCCAGACAGCATCTGAACATCTCCAAGGATGGAGACACCACAACCTCTCTAGGCAATCTCTTACAGTCAGTGCTTGGTCACCCTCACAGTAAAAAAGTATTTCCTGATGTTCAGAGGGAACCTCGTGTGTTTCAGTTTGTGCCCATTGCTTCTTGCCCTGTCATTAGGCACCACTGAAAAGAGCCTGGCTGCATCTTCTTTGTGCCCTCCATTCAGGTATTTGTACACAAACAGCAGAGATGTCCCTGAGTCTTCTCTTCACCAGGCTAAACAGTCCCGGCTCTCTCAGCTTGTCCTCATATGAGAGATGCTCCAGACCCTGCAACATCTTAGTACGCCTCTGCTGGATTCACTAGAGGAGCTCTGTTTGTTGTAATCAAGCAAGAATAGCCTGTTGCAGATACAGTGCAATCTCTATCCCCTCCTTAAGCTTCTTGACTTCTTTCGGAACTATTTTCATTGTTTTTTTCCAAATACAGCTGGAGCCGACTGCACTGAAAACACCTTAGGAGATCACTTTGAAAGAATGTCTCCATTATGTTAATTGCTGTGGCAGTTGCTCTAAATATAGTTAAGAGTAAGAATTAGTACTATAACCTTGTTTATCTCTGAGTAAGAGGGTATTTGTTGTCACTGTAAATAGATTCATGTGGTATTGTGGATTGGGTAGTCACTGACTTCAATGAATACATTAGTGTCATCAGTGGTTGCTAACTGCCATAAAAATTGCTGACAAGGATCTTGAAATAGTGGTAGATCGTCTTCCTGAGGACACAAAACAGAGGGAAGTACATCACAGCAGTATTCTGTTGGGTTACAGACTGCCAGTATCTGATAGTATTTGTATTCATCCTGCTTCATGCAGATTATTCAAAGAAACAAGAATTAAAATATGAGAAGTCAAGACTTGTATGATTCTGCTCCTATAGGGACAATGAGAAGAGTTTAAAGTCAAAGCTTTGTTCTGCATTTTGGTACTGAGGATAACATGACAAAACCCACAAAACTTCTTGAAAATAAATTTAATTTTATCCATTAGAAATATTATCCCCAATAGGTCCACCTTTCCACAAAGGCTTACAGAGTTCACATTTTTTAAAATTAATAAACAGCTAAATACTTAATTTCAGTATTAGATTCAAATTCTGGTCAACTGAATAAGAAAGCAAACCAATATCAGGTAATCAGGAAGGAATAAAAATTATTTTTTTATACTGTCAGTTGATTTTTGGACCACCGATATGAGCATAGAACTTAACTTCAGAGTCAAACTAAATGAACCAAATACATGAAATCAGCACATGATCTTCAACAGCTCCACAGATTCCAGCAGTATTTTAATGACTTTTGCACTGCATTCTAAGGTAAGTCAAGCCAACCACCATACAAAACAAATAATAAACGCTGTTTACTTTAATTGGGCAAGCGTGTCCAGTTTCCTGATACACAGAATAATTCAGTATTGTAAACAAGCCTTCTAATACAATCCAGAAAAAACTGTTCACTTTATGGTTCACGCTTTCAAATTTATGATTACCATAGCTTTTCTGTGGTCACCAGAAGCAGGCTTGTGCCTGGACGTTGTTGTTTAATGTTTTTGATTAGGATGCCATTTTACGGATCATGTAGTTCAGAATGCCGCCATTGTGGAAGTAAGTGAGCTCCACGTCAGTGTCAAATCTCATGATGGCATGAAAGGTTTTCCCAGTATCCAGCTGTTGGGGTCAAAGAAAGTCATTCAAGCAGCAGAACCTTCCACATGTTACATGAAATCATAGTAAAATAAGGACTATTACGATAGTTTCACCATCTTAAGAAATTGTGATAGAAAGCTAAAGTGAACAGGCACTGGACATCCGTATTTCTTTCCACACTAGACTACGGCCAGCTGCTTAAGAGAAAAGTGGTTTAAAACAAACGAAAATAAACATGGTATGGAATCTCCTTGCATTGCATTTGCTGCCTCATCTAGATTTATTGTTGATATAAGCCTAGAGGCATGAAAACTGACCATCCTTTCAAGTGGTTATACTAATTCTTGAAGTTCTTCTAGTAGTCATTCTTCTGGCTCGGGTACAATAGCAATACTAATTTCATTAGCTTTCTTTGAGGCCTCGTGTTTGGGAATCAGAAAAGCAAGTGCATGAAGTGAATAAAACTATTGTGTTTTACTGAAGACTCTTCCAGTGAGGTACTTCCAGATGAATGCACAATGTTCATCTGTGACTGATAAGCTGACCAACTCTTTGGGATCTATACTTTCTCCATTTCAGGGCAGTTAGTGAGGCACATGTAACAACTGTTGTTAGAAACTAATCCAGGGAGACCACCTGCATTAAATGAACATGCAGTAAGTAGATTGTTTTGCTAACTGCAGTAAAAAAGCAGACTTTGATGCTGTTAGGTTAAGTCAGTCAGCTTTACAGATGTTCCAATCAAGAATAAGGCAAATTTTTATTGTAGATGCTAATATTTTTCAAAAAAGGGCATAGGTTTGGAGGCAAAGCTGGACAAAAAGCAGTCTTTCAAACACAGGGCCTGAAGTTTAAGTAGATTTTATCCTGGGTATACTTAGACTTCACTTTGAATGCTGCAGTGTACAATATTGTCAGCTGAATTGTCAATGAATTATTTTAATTTTAAATTCATTTAAATAAATTAGTTCAATTAATTTAATACTTACAGTTAACTTTCTATTGTGCTTCAAACATTTAACTGAGACAGAAAAAATTATAGTGGACTTTGAAAGACGGGTCCAAAATACAGGACTGCTTTGTGCTAAATAAAACAGTTTGGCCAAGCTGCTTTTATATCCCATCATAGCAAACTCTATTACAATGACCATTTTCATCCCCTCCACCATCTCAATTCTTCTCCCTTCCTCAAGTGAGAGGAGCTTACTGCCAAATGAAAGCCTATTGTTTGAAGAGACAGTT